TTTGAAGGGGCATATAATATTTAAAAAATAGAAGCTTAAATACAACACATTTATGACAGAAAGACCATATAGCTGGTGTAAAAATCATACAGTCATATAAACGTGGAAGACCTGTTTATGTAGAATACAGCAGTTTGACATTAATATCCGTTTTTCCCTTAAAGGTAACAGACATCTTGGTTTGAGGAACAAAAAACGACATATTTTTTATTAAGGGTTATTTTAAATCCAAATATGTTTACACTATACTATTGCAGTTTTTGTATTATAGCAGCACTGTACTATCAGCGTAGGTGTAATAATATAACTTTACTTTTACATAAGTTATGAAATTCTGTGGAATCCTGCAAAATTAGACAAATACAGTGCTACACCACAGAGGCGTTTTAATCTCTGAGCCCGATCTATATGAAGTAATTTCATGACTATCCATAATTCAGAGGCTGAAGGAGTGTAATGGATGTGTGGGTTGTAGCTGGAATAGGAGCATTAATATGTTCACATTTTAGATTGTTTGATTAACATGATATTATTAATGTTGGTCCATTCCTCATGTTCTGACAGTTACATTAAAAGCTATGTGACGAGTTGTATTATCGTGATTTTTTGCAAGAAACACGTGTGATCCTGCTTCCTGCATATCTATGTTTCATAAGCAAAGATAATATGATACTTTCCACAATTCTCCTTTGACAATATTCGTATACAGCATACACGAAAAATGAATGCCAGTTGATAGACACTTCCTCTATTTACAGCACAAAGCAAATCTTTGAGTGGACATTTGGAGCCCCATGGGGGTTGACCCTATTGTGCTCTTATCACACCTTGTACACCTCCTACTAGAGTAATGCTGCTGGCATGAATACAAAATCTCCTCGAAAATGCATTTATATTTCATGTTTTTCATAATGATTGGAAGTGAAGAATTATTGACTCGATAAAAAATGTAACAGATGAATAATTGAAAGCAGCAGTTTAACGAGAAGTTAATGTGGAATACCTTTGAGCTTCTAACGCATATGAAAAAGGACATTTAAGATAACACAGAAATCATACAACCTGCAGGAGAACATCTGTAATAACTGTGAGAAGCTGCGTCAATAAGCTGTGGAGCATGTTTTTGTCAAGCATGCAGGATGGACTCATGTTGTGATGTCCTACTTGTTCCACTATATCATGCTTATCATGCATTTAAATCAGCTACAGTTAAATCAGGAGAGACCTAATTTTTTGATTTAAAGAACATTTATTGACGAATGCGGCATATGATATAAATGTTTACAGTCTTTGGCGATTAGACCCCAATACCGATATTGTATATCTTAAGGGAGAAACGGGTGGTGATGCTGAAGATCTGGATTTGATGAGGAGATGGGAAGAAGAGGAGGTGTGATGAGGTGTGGTCTTTGGATTAGCTCTCCTGGGCACTGGACATTATGACAGGAGGTAAATGGGGTAGAGGCGGGCCCAAAGTTTGACTGCAGCACGATGATTGGCTGCTGGAGATTGTGGTGAAATATAATTGGTTAAAAGGGAAGACCTATGATAAGATGATTATATGCAGCTGTGGAGTGACTGAATGTATAACCAGTCTTCCTGCTTGAACTTGAGGCATAAGGGGGATGTTTGAATATGTAGAATAATAAATGGATAAAGTAATTTGAGAAATAATGAGTTTATTTAAACTAGTATTTACAAAAATGATTCAATTCAATATGAATCATCTGCAGTATGCATCTAAGGGCAGCCATTTCATTACAAGTTACTTGTTAGATGCTTTTATCCAAAGCTACTTACATACTCAATGCTGTGGACAATCCCCACAGGAGCAATTTGGGGTGAAGTGTCTTGCCCAGGGACACAACGACATGCTGACTGCAGTGGGGCTTGAACCTGTGCTCCCCTGATCCGAACACCAACGCACTTGTCCACTGCGCCACAAGCCACATTTTCAAACCTTTTTATTTGACTGCCTCCAGACAGCTTTAAAGATGAATATGAAACCAACACTTCGAACTATAAGACCAATACTGTATGAGTAACCCTTTTAAGGAGTTCAAAGATCATTATTAAAGGTCATGAACATTATTTAGAGAGCTTATAATGATGAAGTGCTTGAGAGTAGAGCAGTAGGAGCTTAGGATAGAGACATTATGTTTTCTGTATGCTTTAGTTTAAGAGGCCTGTCGGTGAAAGTGGGGGAGGCAGAGAGAGGGGAGTGTGTGATTCAGTGATGTGAGAGTAAAGTGAGCTATCTGGTGAAGGAGTGAGTGTTCAGCCCACAATAAGATAGGGAGGAATGATAATGACTGATAAGCCAGGCTGTTGTGGGACCATCGGAGGGAGGAAGGAGTTGGGACTAGAGGTCATGAGGTCAGATTGTCATTAAAATGTACAATCTGGAAACTGCCGCCAATTTACATATTGTCTTGGAGTCACAGTACAGTATAAACAGAACATTTATTATAAGTTAACTCTCTCTTGAAAAAACTTGAATTGACAAACTCTCGCAGCTCTTAAGCCCAGTTATGTATTTGAGGTGTTTGTGTGTTAGTGACATTTCCTCTGAAAGAGACAAGAGAAGGTCACATACTCAGTCTAGTGACAGCTTAGAATGAAGATCATTTGCAATAAAAAGCTAATGACGGCAGCTTAATGAAGTGAAAAGCAACACGGCTGAGTTTCAGACACAGGGAGTATACAAGGACACAATTAATTCAGCCTAATTTCACCTCAGGCTTCCTTGCTGTAACCATAGCAGTTACCTCCCCCCCATCACACTTTACCCAGTCATATTGCTGGAGGGTGCATTGTTTGTCAAGTAACCTGAATTTACCTAAAGTCCAAGTGACTTCACAAGGGCATAATATAAGAGATGAACAACTTCATTTCAAGAACTTCTGAGTTGTGTTGCCCTGGAAACCGCTTTGGTTCTTTTCATGTTGTTTCTTAGTTTTCCTGGCATGGCAGCCATGATCCAGGATGTGACATCAAGTCGTTGTTCTCGAGTGTCTGAGTGCAAACAATCTGCCCGCCAGCAGACAAACAGCCCTCCTTATCTGAAGCATGCAGTGATTCATCTGTACACCATGAAGCTATCGTCTGATGTGTTTTGGCCTCCAGTGGATGTAAATATTCCAAATGAACAATGACGTCAGGACATGAACACGTAAATATTTGGGCAATCAGATGTATTTGATTTCAAGCTTAACTGAGCCTTCATCACAGACTCTCCGAATGTTTAATACCAACCCAGTCTCATGGCATTTCGTGTTCACCAACACGATTTTTAATCTATTGATTCGTGTTCACCAACACGATTTCCCCCTTTTTTTCGTGTTGCACAGCACGATTTTTAAAAGCAATGTATTTCTACTGGTAATGTGTTTCTTGCCTGCAGCACGTCTTTAGAGGCTTCTCAATACTCAAATTTCCACGACAAATTTCCATGACAGCTCTGCATGCATCCTCTGGATCTCTTTATTTGCTGTAGTAGGCCTACAAAGAGTCGATATTTTTCTAAGACCATTTAGTGCGTTACATAATAAAATACACAACGGCTGTAGCCTGATTATGCTTTAGGAGCTGTAAGTGTGTGTTGTAGGCAGTGTGTATGTGTGTGTGTGGTACAGTATGTAGGTGTGTGTTGTACAGTGCGTAGATGCGGCGGAAAGACGGGTCTCAGTTGGTTTGGTGTCCTCTGCTTACTTTTAATTTAATTTAATTTCAAATCTTTATTTATACAGATAAATCCCATTGAGATCATTGATCTCTTTTTCAAGGGAGACCTGCTCAAGTAGTTCCACATGAAACATAAAAACATAAATGGAACAACAAAAGGACATCATACAGCATCATTTACATAATTATCCACATAAACAGGTACCAATAGCTTCCGATTGAGTAGCATCCAACCGAGCTTTAAAAACATTTAGTGGCACCAGATTGTTCAGTTTCCATTTAATTTGCATACTATTCCAAGACAGAGGAGCTGCGCATCTAAAAGCTGTCTTCCCTAAGACAGTCCTAGCAGTTGGCACATTTAATAAAATGCATTCGATCTCAGGCAGTAGCCTTTACAATTCTCCGTGAGATCAGGGAGCAGATATAAGATGGAAGTTTCCCTAACATGGCTTTGTATGTTAGGGAAACTTCCATCTTATATCTGCTCCCTGATCTCACGGAAAATTGTAAGTGGCTTATTATTATTACAAGTTAATACTTGTAAATACAACTTTTGGCCCGTAATTTCAATTCCCCATTTCAGCGACCAAAGAGAGGGGGGGGGGGGGATATATCCAGTCTCTGATTGTGTTACGTTATTATGAGAGTGCTGAGCTCTCATACTTTAAATTGTATATATTTATATAAATATATTTGTGTGTGTGTGTCCGCATCTGTGCCTGTTATTGTCTCATTATACGGTATACCGCACTCTCAATGAATTCAAAGTAAATATGTGGGGGAACAATGTTCAGCTGATCTAACAGAGATTATAAAATACAGCGCTATGACAAAACACTCGACAGCTGATGCAGCTGTTGCCACGTAATAATGAACGGACGTCGCTTTAAAATGACCGCTCAGAGGAGAGGAGTTCTCATTTCTTTAAACGTCTGCTGCTTCCCCTCCTCTCTCCTCGGTTCCCCTCCTCGGTCCTCCGCTCGCATCTCCTGTGGGCGGGTCTAATGGCGCGTTTCCACTGCAGCGGGTAGCCCCGTTTAAGCGTCCTTAACCGTCCTCAAGCGGCCAGGCCGGTTTTTGGTGGCGTTTCCATATAGCCTAGTACCGGCCAGCGGGTACTTTTTCCCTCTTTTTCCGGCCTCATAAAATCGTGGTTCCCTCAGACCAGGGCCAGGGCTGAACTAGTGACGTCAACACTCTCGACTGCTGATTGGTCAGAGAGAATCGTCACAAGATTGCGCGCGAGTTCATCCCTGGCGTCGCATATATATCTAGAAGCAAGCTTACAGCATTTTTATACACAGCATTTTGTAAACGGAGGAGCTGCAAAAATGGCTACTTCTAAGAAAAGCACACCGTGGTCGACCGAGGAGGTGATGACGTTCCTTCATCTCATTGGGGATGATAAAATCCAGCGGGAGCTCGACGGAACAACGAGAAATGTAAAAGTGTTCCAGGATGTCTCTGCACAGATGTCCGAACGCGGGAGGGAGGGAGGCCTGGACTCTGCAACGGCTTTACTGGAGTCCCTGCAAGGTACGCTCACTTCTAACAAATAAGCAGTGGCGTTTTCTCCCGGAGGCCAAGGGAAGCCAGGCTTCCCCTGTTTTTTCGGATTGTAGTTATAATTTAAATAAATAAATAAAAACACTTTGTTTTGTTTCGATAATTCTCCTTTGCTGTGTGTTGCTGCCGGCCCGGCTCTCCCCCATTCTCATTGAGTATTTTACAAAGAGTGAAACAAACAGCGCCCCTCTAGATGTTATGGTGAAACAGTAGATTGCACTCACTGTTGCGAGAGGAGGCCAGCCGAATCTAGCTTCCCTTGGTGAAAAAAAATGGAGGGATTGACCAATCAGATGAGGCCCACGTGATGCCCCTGCCAACCTGTGATTGGTCAGGGCCATGCCAAGGGAAGCTAGCCGCCTCTTGCTTCCCTTCAGAGGCGGCTGGCGGCTGGCGATTTGATTGGACACTGCCATCCAATCAAATCACATCAACATCAGTTTTAATACTGTAACTGTCATCACCGCCGTTAGAAATTATCAAGCAAATGAAGCATTATGGAGGGTGGAGATTTGGCGTACTTAATCAAACATAACTTTACTAAACTTCCGCTACAGCAGCAACTAAAAATTAACTCAGATGACAGGCAAATGCCCGCACTCGAGCTGTGTGTACGCAGAGGAAAAAGGGAGAGAATCGGACGTTCAATGAGGACAATTATGTCCGCACGGAGTGGCTAACTGGAAGCGCTAAACTTCAGCGTCTAATTTGCTGGCCATGTCTTCTTTTTGACAAGGATTCGTGCTCCCTGAACAATCCTTGGGCAACTTCAGGATTCATCGACCTTGCCAACCTGTCACGGGCAATTGAGAGGCACGGTAAATCCAAAAATCACATAGATTGTGTGATTGTCTGCATACATTAATAAGTAAAATGCTTAAATTAATAAGGAGAGAGTTTCAGCTGGAGAGTGCGTGCGGACCTGTCGGTTAGATAACAGGCGTGTGCAAGTCCTGCATCTGTGTGATACAAATGTGTGTAAAATGATACCGGGCGCTGTAATCACTCATCTGGTTACGTTATTGACCACCCCCCGACCCAAAAAATGGGCTTCCCCTACATTTTTCCCCACGCCACGCTACTGCAAATAAGTCTATTTTATTCTTACATTAATGTTCGACAACCCATGCTTTTATCGAGCCTCGAAGAGCTACATAGCTAGCTAATGCTTTTATGGAGCCCCGAAGAGCTACATAGCTAGCTAAAGGCAGATAGCCTTAGCTAGAGCTATTGTTTGCCAACACATATGTGCCATTGTTTACGTTCAGTTTTTCTTTTCTATAGTTGCTGTTGCTATTTAGTATTGTGCTGCAGTAGTTTGTGGAATTAACAAGTCATTTTGCTGTTCTAGATGATTACATTGGGACTCGTGAGGAGGAACATTCCCGAACAACGGGCGATGGCAGTGTTCCGTCCACATCGTCATTGCATCCAGAACAGACCCCAGCCGAAGACCCTAACCCGACTCAACCACCAACACCGAGTGCCATCACGACACCGCAGCGTGTGGTTCTAGGTAAGAAATAGAAATGACAAAACGACTGGAATTGTGTTTTAAAGCTTGGATCATCCATCGTCAGTAATTAAAATAAGCTATACCACTGTGTGGAAATGCTCTGTTACAAGTAAAGTCTTAGCTAGTAAGCAGCTAGTACAGTTGTGTGTGACATCCAATCATATACATATATGTATATTCATTATCAACAGATAAAGTGCTTTACATATGCAATAAAAAAGCAGAACACAAATTAAAATCAATGGAATACATTTAAAAAGATGTTGCAGTTATCTGCTTAAAACACAATGCCATCATATTAATTACATCCGGCATTCAGGCATGGTATTTATTGCATATCAGGTTAGGAAGGTGCATCTGCTAACACTTCACTATCTGCACATTTGGAATATAACACAAAGACAATCAGGATATGAAAATGATGGTGTCTTTGTGTTGGTGAGCTAACAGTCTGTGAACAACAGCCTGGAGCTTCACTTCCTGATAACACATTTTTCTCACTAACAATTTTGAGGATTTAGTGCCAGTGGGCCAGAGCTCTCCCGAATTTCATAGCAGAGAAAAAAGCTACTTTTAATTACAGCATATTCATAAAATATGAATTAAAAGACACACCCCAAGTGTTTTTATGCATTTAATACAACATTTCTATTCGAATTGGTTTAAAACATATATTTTAACTTTCAACACAGATGTCAGCTTTGTCACTAGTCAAGTTTCTTTCTACAAGAGCATCAGCCTGTAAAGGATGAAACTGTAGAGCAGCCTTACCATTTTAATACACCTGGCTCATGTTCATATTCTCATATATTTATATTCATTACCAACAGGTTGGACATAATGTAATTCACTTTCACAATCATTGTAAACATCTAGGGCCAGCACTTTCTTTAGTTCACCTTACTGTTGTTCTGTTTATACATGTTATTCTTATATCCTTGTGTGACCTGTACCCGTCCTGTGTTTTTTCCTTATTGCTAATTATTATCTTATTGTCACCCAGGCAAGAGGAAACGAGGAGGAGAGTATCAGGCGCAGCAGCAACGGCACCATGAACAGCACATGGCCCAGCAGGAACGGCACTTGGACTGGGCCAAAGCGTCTGCTGAGCGGAGATGGGAGTTGGATGCCGCCTTGAGAAGGGAGGAGGCCGCCTTGGCAAGGGAGGAGGCCGCCTTGAGAAGGGAGGAGGCCGGTCAAACAGAGACCTTCAACCTCGCCTTCCTGCGCACTCTTGGCGAGGTGCTAGGGGGACTGGGCAGCCGACGTGGCCCGTCTCCTCCTCGTCCAACATAAAATAACTATGATTATCATATATTAGAAAATAATGAATAATTTAGAACTGCGTTAGGCTACTATTGTTTATGCTGGACAATAAATGCTGTAGTGTTTTGTTAAGAGTTATTATAGTACATTCATGATGATACACTGGCTATTTGTAAGAATAAATACCAATATCACATCTTATTACAATTTTTAAAAACTATTTTTCCTCACAAACATTTGTCTGGGTTTTTGTCATCTGCATTTAAATGTAGTGTTGTTTATTATAAGACATGGGAAGAATATCTTTAAGATTTTCACATGACATGTATGTGTCGTCATCTGAAGTCAAATACCACTGTCATTATAAGTCTTTACTAAACAAAGGTTATGCAAAGACAGCATGTTACTCAACAAAAAAAGATTGATTGAGTTGAATTGATTGGCTAATTCCCAACTTAGCCTACTTGGTAGACACACACATAACGATCGACAGACATTACATAAAATAACCTTAATAGTTATTGTACCTATTTTGTTTTTCTAGTTATTTTTTAAAAGTGTACTTTATTTGTTCTTTAAAATCTTCATTTTATTTTTACACTGCCATGTGCCATAATTTTTTTTATTTGTATGGTTTAATGGCATGCCTTTTTTATACACGCTTTTTTTTTTTGTATACTGCCATCAATAAAGTACTTATTTGACTTATCTCTTGTTGATAATGAATTGCACCTTGATTTAGAGAAGATAGTTTTGCTGTGTTGTACACTTTGTTTATAGTTAGCTTTGATATTCGCTTAATTTATTAGAAATATTCTTTTCATGATCTCATATTTCCTCAAATGTTCTTATTATGGGGCAGTACTTACTGGTGCTTGAATTTCAAATATTTACTAAATATTCAATTCAGATAATATTTGTTTAAAACATTTGACAAACATGTATATGAAAAAAAAAGAGATTTATTTATGTGAAATACAATGAATACAATACAATGCAATTTACATATTCAGGTAGCGCATCAAACCCTCTCTGATGTCAGTGCCCTCCTCCTCTGCACCTTGAGCCACTGCTACCCCAGGCTCTGCTGCTGATGCATCCCACCCATCATCATAGTCCTCTCCATGACTCTCGCAGAGGTTATGCAGAGCACAGCATGTCAGCACCATTGATTTAACAAGTTTCACATCACAGTCATTTCTTTTCATGAGGCAACGCCACCTTCCCTTCAGTCTACCAAATGCATTTTCAACCACTACCCGTGCGCTGCAAATTTTCTTGTTGTAGAACACATGTTCTGCTGTCAGCCGTCCAGTGTCTGGGAAGGGTTTTAAGAGCCAGCTTTGCAAGGGATAGGCATTGTCTCCCAGGATGTAATAGCCAGCATTCACCCCACCAATGTCCCTGGTGCAAGGTGGAAAGTAGTTGCCACGACTGGCCAACTCCCACAATGAGGACAGCCTCAAAAACCGACCGTCATGCATGCTCCCAGGCATTCCTGCAAACACATTCCAGAAATGTCCCTTTCCATCTACAACTCCTTGAAGGATGATGGAGTGCCAGCCTTTCCGGTTGAAATAGTCACAGTGGTATTCCTGTGGGGCCAAGATGGGTATGTGTGATCCATCAATAGCACCTACACACTGTGGGAGCCCCCACCGGTTCTCAGTGTAGGCAGCCATTTCTGCAAACTTCTGCCGGTCTGGTGAACGAATTAATTCCGGTACCAACAAAGTCTGCAGCAGCACAGAAGTCTTGCACACACCGGCACACAGTGGTGTTGCTCACTCCGAAAAGATGTCCAATGCTTCTGTACTCTGAGCCGGTAGCAAGCTTCCACAGTGCGATGGCCACTCTCTTCTTTAGAGGTATACACTCGCGGAATGTTGTGTCCTGTCTCTCCATCGCTGGCCGCAGTTTGTTGCACAGGTAGGTGTAGGTTTCCTCAGACATCCTGAAGTTATCCACCCACTGAGTGTGTGTGAAAGATGGAACTATCACAGACCACCACTCGGTAGCTCGGTCGAGCATCCAAACACATGGTCCGCGGCGACGTAACTTCTGAAATACACAAACAAAAGCATACATATTTTAATACGTAAAAGTGGTAGCTACAATTAATTAAATATTTGAAAACACTTTGGTCGTATTGTGAGCGTGAGCCTAAACACATGGCTAGTTTCAATTCAGATAATATTTGTTTAAAACATTATTACATGTTTATTTTGTAATGGTTATTAAGAATACATGATAAATACATAATACATAAAAGTAGAAATTGCTCAATTGTAATACCCTTGTTCTACTAGACTCAAACAACACATTCCTTATATATTTCAAAGATGAGAGAACAAAAGAAGAAACCTATACTGTAACCCATTCAAGCAAGCTTTTAACATGTCTAGAAGAAAGATTGAGGTTATATTTTAATATTATTTTATGTTGTGGATACTTTAGCCTCCATCCATGTTTACGATTGTCCACACTATTTTACACTTGCATTTATTATGAATATAGTTTTGCTGTGTTTTACACTTTGGTATTTATGTTTAAAGATTTTCTTTTCATGATCTCATATTGCCTCAAATGTTCTTATTATGGGGCAGTACTTACTGGTGCTTGAATTTCAAATAGCTTACCGAGTAGCGTTGCAGTCTGTTCCTGTTGTAGTCTCTGCAGCGTTGTAGGACTTCCAAAACTCTCTCGTCAGCTTCTTCTGCATTTCGTCTTGATATACGCAGCCTACTTTGCATCACATTCCTGTTTGCTGTGATCACTTTCCTTCTCGCTGTGATCCCTTTCCTTCTTCTTGCTGTGATAAAAAGCCACACACCAAGAAACAAGTACACGATCGCTTCCATATCCTCCATTGTTGTGTGTGAGTTGTGTCGCATTGAAGATGACGCCACTGCAGTTTTATCTCAACGTCGGTCCGCCAAAAAAGCCCGCCAAAAAGCTGATCGCCCCGCCTACACTGCGTTGCTAGCCCAGGTCCTAAACTGTAATTGAAATGCGCCACGGCCTGGGCCGGCCAGCGAGGCAGCCAGAGCGAGGACGGGACGCTTAAACGGGGCTACCCCGCTGCAGTGGAAACGCGCCATAAGTCTCGAGGAGGGGAACCGAGGAGGGGAGTCGAGGAGGGGAAATTTGAGTATTGAGAAGCCTCTCTTTTCTCCGGTCGGGTCGTGGAAGACCGGAAGCTGTGTGGTTCATAAAAACATGTTCTTACTCAATATCAAGCCACAATTATTGCTTTTATTTTAAATCGTATAATTTCGGACTTTTGTTGCCGTCTGTGAGGAAAATAAATGGGGCTCAGAGGCTCAGAATACTGAAATCTGTATTTTTAAAATCTTTTTTTCCTTCTAATTTGATATTCTTTTCAAAATAACACACTGTTATTAGGCTTGTTTGAGACAAGCGAGACCTGCGCAGTTGCGATCAACGTCTTGCTAGTGCGTTGCATGATGGTTAGTCATTTTGTCCGACTTGCTCTGGAGGCCCGCCTACATGAGACGTTGAAATCTCGCGGGACAAAGACGCCCGCAGCCTTGAGAGCGAGGCGCGGCGAGGCGGCGCAGTTCCTCTCCACGGGCTGCGGAAGCGAAATGCTTGATGGGAAACGACTCGCTGGTATCTCGAGCTGAGCGCTCATTGGTGGTTTTTACCAAGTGCTGGTGATGAAACTCTCCAATTGGCTCGGCAAAAGTTTGTTGTTGTTTTGTGTCAGTTTTACGTCGCCACATCCATTCCCATTTTTCATCATTGTTCCACAATGTTTATCATAATGAAATGAATATCCATATATTTTATACTATACTTGCACTGCTTACCGTTTTCATACTTTATATATCTTAGCATATTCATACACACTGTTCATACTGCTCACAGGCTGATATCTAGTGTATTCATACCCCTCACTGTTTATTCATCATTCAATTAATTCTATATTTTATTCTGTAGATTGTGTACATTACTTTTCACTTTACTGCTTGTTGCACCTGGTTTGAAGCTAAACTGCATTTCGTTGTCTCAGTACCTGTAATATGTGCAATAACAATAAAGTTGAATCTAATCTTGAGCAGGAACAAATGTATTTACTTAGTACATATCTGACATTAACGATTAAACACATGTGTGCATTCTTTATAAATGCAAACCGAGTCAAGCCGACTCCGGAGGTGGCGGTATGCACCTTAAAGTTGTTTGCAATCCGCCAAATAACCGAGAGAAGAAGAAGAAGAAGAAGAAGAAGAAGAAGAAGAAGAAGAAGAAGAAGAAGAAGAAGAAGAAGAAGAAGAAGAAGAAGAAGACTCGTAGCTGTCCGACTTCAGGCGAGCTTTTTGAGACCTCCCCCGGCTGCGATCGGCTACTCTCGTCTACTTTCGAGGCGAGCCGCAACGCGTCTCAAACAAGCCTACTTACCAATAACACACAATTATCCTTGTTTTTATTTATTGGTTTAATTCCATAATCTCGGTTTTTTTTGGCGTCCGTCAGGAACTGAATTTCAAAATAAAAATAACAGAAGTTGCCTAAAATATAATGCATTTGTCCAAGAAAGAGATTCAGCACAATGCACATAGAGCGTTTCGTTCAGATGGGATATGTTTGTAAGAATGATGGACGAATCAAATAAGGTCAGTTGTCTGCGGTAGAGGAATATCACCGCAAATTCCAAAATGTTTGTGTGGTGGTTGGTTTGTGGGATAAGATGTAGCAGGTCAAGACGACAGAGACTTTGAAGACTTTACTCTCCGTAACGGCCCCAACAGTTCCCAATGGCCTTCCCTAAACAAAGGGAAATGTCTGTTTTGCTCTGTATGCCCTGCCACCTTTGCTAGCTGGTCGCCATGTTGCTTTGTCACAGTGGGGTTATCAGCAGCTGGGAACTAAAGGGCACTTGGAACACAGATATTTTCTAAAGCCAAATGCCCTATCCGGCAACGTTAACCCAAGTGAGAAATGATTTGTGTTGCCATCCCGTTATTTGGATCTGCAACAAAATGTAATGCGTTCTAACTTGCTATACACCCTTTCAACAAGTGTCATAACAAGTTCATCCAATCATTTGTCACTTATCCTGCTGACAAACAATTTTAAGTGACATAATGACACTGATTAAAGCTGAGAGAGTGAACCAAACAGTGAAGTTAAAGGCTTTTAAACCAAAACAAAGAGCTGAAAGAATATCCAGGGAAAGGATGAGCATCACCTTTCACATGACACAGTTATTTGATCCATTGTTGATTCAAATATGTTTATGAACGCAGATTTAATATGGAACATTGGACATTCCAAGAACTGAAATCAAAAACTTATATGTCTCTTTTTCTGAGTCAAGCTTTTTTCTTTACTTTGTTGCTTCATAATTTCCCCCTGTCCTTCTGAAGTATTCACATAATTGAAACAGCACTCAAATTAAATAAAGATGTTCATTGTTGCCTTAGTTTCTTTTCAGAATCAGAATCCATTATATTACTAAGTGGATTTTACCAATTTGTTTTGGTGTAGTGGTGCATAACATTTGAAAAAAATCAAAGCAAGTTTTGCAAAGATCAAGAAACAGATAGAGAATAAAGGAAACACAAAATAAAAATATGAAAAACATATATATGTAGCTGTAAATGCACTGTACGAAGTATACAAATAATATACAATATAGTATTTATCACAGAACCTATGCTTTAGTCAACATATATTTTAAAATAGAGAATTAAGGTGACAGGTCCTTCCATGCTAAATATAAAAGTCATCATTACTGTTTAGTGAGTCGACATATCTGTCTTTCTTTTACAAACATCCTAACCGATCTACATTCCCTTAACTCGGCTGCCAAAATGAAGGATATGAGGAAATGTCAGATGTTATCCTCTGACTGCCTTACATAACTCCTAAGCGTGTGTCCGGGATAATCCTCTTAGGGAGGAGAAGAGTTCCCCTGATAGAAAACAAAACACAGTTTGCCTCCTCTGTCCCCTGCTTTTAATAATCAAAATGGAGTTTGTGCGGATGCCACCAGAGTAATTAATCTTTGCTGGAGGACAAGCCCCTGATCTCTAATCTATGATTATTTGTATGTTCAAAATGAGCAGATAGTGATAGATGTTGTTGTGTAAATGCATGTGTTTGGGATTTGCATTGTGTTAGACACTGCTACAGATGCATTTGAAAGTGAAATTATAGAAGCACTTTCCCGTGGAGAAGCCCATAGAAATACATTATTGTGGAGGCAGTGCTGTGTTTCATCAAAACGTATGGAGCTTTAATTAATGACTGAGGGGGATAACAAGCTGTTCTTCCTTTTGGCCAACTGCAGCATGACATCTGCATTTATATTAAAACATGTGTGATGTTAAAGGATAATCTCCCCCTCCCTGAATTCACTCAATTTGCATTATGTACAAATTGGGAAAAGTATATTGTTGTTATTGTTATTATGTAATCATGAGAACCATGACAATAACTTAGTGTGACTGTACGGTGTGCTGAAGTGTAAGCACTCTGATCCCCTCTGGTGGTGTGAGAGAGATTTACATCAACAATGATGTTTACACAGAGGCTGATTTTAGCAACCCTCGAGGAGTTTACACTCAACTGCAAACCTCTGCTTGGTGGGTAACAGCTGATTACAGTGTTGTTAAAGTGTTTTCAAATATGTCAAAAGTATAGCAAATAAATAAAGGCCTAAGCAATTTCTCCCCAGTGTTGATATCACAAAGTGGCTAAGGCTTTGAATCAGCACGCACTATGTTTTGTTGGGAAATAAAATTCCCAGAAGGTGTAATCATATGTATTATCATTATCTTAAAGGGCCGATTTCTGCCTTTGCAGACCATTTACATAAACAACTACATATATAACACAATACAGGAAATGGAAACCCTAAAAAAAAGCATCATATGGCCCGTTTAGGCCTGCTTTTAGCTCAAATGTCATTTAAATAAATCTGCTCTGTATTAAAACCCGTTATATTTAAGGTGGTTTTGCTTCTAACCTGGTCAACACTAGAATCTGGTGTAACGGTTCACAGAAGTCACGGTTCGGTTCGTACCTCGGTTTGGGGGTCACGGTTCGGTACGGGTTCGGTACAACAAGAAAAAGCAAAAAAAAGTCCCAAATGCATAATTCCAGGTTTGTTGTTATTTATTTTTGAACAGTAGCGCAAGTTTCAGTTTAAAAATAAGGAACTCTGGCATTTTGAATACTTAACTGTTTTTAACTGACTTTTTTCTCACTCGTAAAAAAAAAGGCGTATACGTCGTGTGACTGCATGTGCCGAACCGTGACGTCCGAACCGTGACGGTACGTGACGAATACGGATACCGTTACACCCCTACTAGAATCATTACATATTTCTTGCACAGGTATATCTTTTTAGGGAGGTTAAAAGGGTTGTACCATCTCAATTCGACACAAAGAAAGAGACAAAAGTCAAAGTCAAATTAATTTACAATAAATAATGTTTATTAATGCAGTTATGGATCTAAATTCAAATGGGAAGCATTTTCCATTCTAGCCAGCTGTAGACACTGCCACATATTTCATAGAAGAGATATCTAAGTAACTTTTATTGGTGGGATTGCTGGGCCAACATTTATTATCCTTTTTCTTCTGCAAACCTGTTCAACTTCATTTAAACGTCAAAATGTTCAGCTCATCCACGACATTGTCAGAAATAATCGGTGAAGCATAATCGGTCAAAACTTTTCTGGCATGTTGTGCAGCGTTAAATAAAAGCATTCAATGTTTTAAGTTAGTTGGGTTACATTTCTCTTTAAAGTTTCTCTTGAACTTATTCTCTATACATTTTAGAAGCAAAACAGCAAAAAAACATTAAAAAACAAGTAAACAAAGAACCAGGAATCGGGTTTCCTGACATATATATGTACCTGATTTACAGGTATGAAGGCATACAAAGGCTTTGACGCTTGGTCGTGCTTTAAGGAACGATTTGTTGGCCAAATGTGAGTGAATCATGGATATTTGTATGTGGATATCTTTTTATTTGGAGAACTGTAAGCTAGCGTTGTTTTTACCTAACCCCGCCATGCACTCACTTTAAAAAGGTAGCTCCAAATTCTAATTCAGTGAATTTGTACAGTCAACGGGTGTAACTGCAGTTTAAAATATCACACGCACACACACACTCACGCACACTCACACGCACCTCAACTCCTTCTTTATACAATTTATAAGAAAAGCTTTTATTGCTCGCACTATATCATTCAAACTCTTCATACTTCTTTAGCTGCCCCTTAATACACATTTTAGCCATAAATGCAGTTCAGCTTCAAGCTCTTTATTAAGCAATGCTACTCAGCTCCCTAATACACATGAGGCAAATACATCTTCAGCTTTCAATCAACACACTTTAGCTACCGAGGCGAGTACAGACTCATTTATTGTCAGTAGCCAGCAATAACACCGCAATTTCTTCAGAAATTGCATTCTCAGTTTTTTATTGCACTAGCAGAGCAGATGGCCTGACATTTAAATATCTTTATTTACAATAAAGCAATATGTGAACTCCTCAAACAAGGAGAAATGTAAACAGGGTTTGTCATTCAGTAAGCTGGGAAGAGTTTGTTCTCTTGTTTAAATCAAGAAACAGTTTAGTCTTGCTTGGAATCTACATTCAGGATCTGAAGACATACGCTGTAGCATAGATGGTCCAACGTGGTAAAAACACACGGACAAAAAAAAAGTAGCAAAAAGAGGACATCCGTTATGTTTGAAGCCACAAGGCCCGCTCGATGCAGTTCATCTACTGTCCTCTTGGAGGTGCTGGTCTGACATGGCTTGAGGAAGGAATGAGGGTCCATTATCATGCAGGAAACCCAGCGCTCCTCCCCTTTCTCCACTGTGCAGTGAATATCAAACACCAGCTGATAACCTGGGAACAGGAAAAACGATATGGTAAGGCCTGTTAACACTGGAAAAACATTGAGCATTATATAAGTCAACAACTCTGAAAGGTTTAATATGAGTTTGTCGTTCCTTTGTTGCTACTTGATTTTGGCCACAAATTGTGCCAACTATTCTGGCATGTTGGGTTAGGGTCAGACTAACCCTAGACTAACTCTAACCCAACCGGTTAGCCTAACCCTATCCCATGTTTTACAATGTAAAATATATTTACCTTTAACTACTTGTGGACTAAGGCTGGAAAGAGTTCAAATTAAATAAAAAACTCAACTTAACCAAATAACTTGTTATGAATCTTGTGAACGTTAGCTGAGCTACTTTCTACTTAGATTTGTATTATTGTATAACACATACAGGATGCAATACATTGATTACTGAGGCTTAGGGGAGCACGATTCAGGAAATCTCACGATTAGATTCACAATCGATTCACGATTCAAAATAGCTCAGGAGTCCGCCCTGTGAGGCATGAAGGGCGGACAGAGTGAAGAGGATTTCCTGGTGTGCTTCCTGGTTGCTGCATAAAGTCTAAGTGCCATGTTAGCGGGAGATTACGGAGCTCACGAGTCCGGCCTGTGAGGCATGAAGAGCGGACAGTGAAGAGGATTTCCTGGTGTGTTTCCCTGGATGCTGCCAGTCGAATTGCCATGTTAGCGGGACATTACAAGTGCCACATTACGGAGCTCACGTCGTAGAAAAAATGGAAAACAGTGTTGTGGCAAGAAAAAAAATGTGAATCGATTCTTGGAATTTCTGAATCTAATCTGAATCGGCAGAGATAGAATCGCGATTCTCTTATCTTTTTTTGTGCACCCCTAGCAGACATTACACTCACTTTCAGAATATTTTTTTATTGAAATGTGGTCTTTTTAAAAGAATAGGTCCTTGACTAAACAACAGACGGTAAACAATAGTAGACTTTCTAGCCACCATCCCTTGACTTTCTCCGCTCGAATAGCTGCTGTTGAATAAGCTCCAACACAATTATTTGAAAAACTCTTCTGCAAAGTTTGAATCCATCCAGCTTACACAAATTAAATAGCCAATTATATAAGATGGCTCTTAAATGTACATTAAACATGACACTGAGCTAACAGAGGCTAAAACTGTATGTCTCCGGAAAGCCTGGGCCAATTATACTTCTAAAACGGTAGTGTACATATCTTTTAATAGTTGAGCTGCTAACATTGGCCAGGCTTCCACACAGAGAAAACCCTACAGTTTAACCCGAAAATAGTCATGAACCGAGCTGAATAATGTCTTATAAACTGTTTTCTGATTCTCCAACTGTACCAGTTGTTGCGTTCAGGGCCATTCCTTGTGATGGGCCTGTTCTTTCTTCTTCTTCTTGTCGTTTTTCTCCTTCTGGAGTCTCTCCAACTCGGCCTCATACATCATCTCCTGGATCAAGTATTTCTCTCGACGCATTCTGTCCCGCAGGTCTTTGGGGAGGTCAGGGATCAGGTATGCAATCAGCGTCTTGATGGAAAACACCATATGCTGCAAAAACAGAGCACATCATCACCTAACCCTAAGGCCAGAGCCATGTCTCCTAATAAAAAAATGAATTAATGAAATACTAAAATGATGAGGTGGGAAACATCAAACACAGGGAATTTCGAATTTGAGACATTGACATTGATGATTAATAATAATGATATTAATACATTTTATTTATAGCACTTTTGATGGTACATTAAAACGCTTAGTGAGGAGATGGGCACTCAATGGTGGAGAAAGAAAGCTTAAAAGCATTGACATCAGGATATGAAAGAATCCATTTCCAAAGCCAGACTGCTGTCTGTTATCATTAGTATCAGAAAAAGACGCTGACCTCAAATACAATGATGAATGCTAGGCGGGCAGCCAGGACGTGCCAGAACTGCAGAGTGTATGCGTACGGCTCAGCGTAGTCCGGAAGCTCTCTGTAGTCCCGATACCTGATGGGTCCAACAGATGGGTTCAAAGGTCATCACAAAGTAGCACTAAATAAAGTCATGTCAGTTATTCATTGGCCAGCAGAAAAATCTCTAAAGCTCAGCATGTCGACACAGCTTAATAAACACAAGAAGGCAAAACCAATTTGTATTTTTATTAAGACTCAAAACTAGAATTATTGTCTTGCCTCTCTGCCAAAACGTCAAGTTTCAGTATATATTTACATCAGTCCAAAATCACTTCATCATTTTATTATATGTTAAAACAAAACTAACTAGCTGTTTTTTACTGCAAAGCTGCACCCAATCTCGTAGGTAACACTATTGCAACAGCAAAAACATCTAACTCTTAAAAGGCAGAGACTTAAAAACTGAAACAAATGGTTGCATCCAATTCTTCTTAAAAATGCTCCCAACAAACGTTTATTTTTTAGTGCAATAGAGACTTGTAAAATCTTACCTGCAATACTTCACAGCTTCTCCAAACAGTTCGGAGCCATTAGTCATGGACTGTGATTTCCCCTCGAAGTCAGACACCCGGAATATTGAGAGACTGGCGTTAACGTAACCCATCATACACCTGTAGCACATTAAGGAAGTCATTAAGAGGGCACTTTATCACTATATACTAACTCAGAAACTGTTATTTTAGAGTTGTATTCAATTACTTGTAGATGGTTTAAGTACAAATGATCTAACAGAGTTCAGTGTGTTAAAGGCGTCCCACAAGGATCAGTTTGGGGCCTTGTTTTTTATACAGTTTATTAATAACATTGTTTTGTCTCTACTTGTCCTCGTTTATGCAGTCAACGCTATTTTGCATTGTTTTGCTGACACTGTACAACTTGCTAACCTTAACCCAACATAACATTTTCCTTTGGAGCTTTCCAAAATGCACTTCTCAAACTATCAAAGAAGAGTATAAATATTTGTTTATAAGATCGTTGGTTGGTCATTTCTGGTGTGATTAACACCTGTCCCTTGTTATCCATACATTAAACTTTTCAGACGTTCACCACTAATTCTAACATTTATTCTGGACTGGAGCACAGTACCCAACCAAACTCTACCATATTTTTTCCCTTCGATTTTGCAAGTCTATTCTGAACCTGGAAAGTCTGCCTATAGTTTCTATGAACCAAATATACGGAATTATGCTTAAGGCTTCATTAAAGTTTTGAAATGGATTTTAACCAAAACGTACATTACGTTTTAAAAAATAAATAATGGAAAGGGACTGACGGCATTAAGAGTCCATCTTTTAACTAACTAGTATTATACGAACCAAACAAATAAACAGTTAATTCCTCACTTACCCCTCCCCTGCTCGACCCTGACCAGCACACGGTCCGTACTTGTAGGCATAAACAAGGCGAGGGATGAAGTCTGAGGTAACAGCGATGACAAAGGCATTGGTGATGACAGACAAGATGCCAATGCCCTCCAGAATGCCATACCAGATTCCTACGACAAACGCATCATTAGACATGAAATTATAACTTCAAACCATTGAACTCATGAAGGCCAACTTCAAAAGATTTCTTGTAAATACAACATTGTGAATTCACCAATGTCTTTGGCTTGTGAGGGCAGAGGGCGCCGCCACTGTGTTACAAACTTGTAGGCGTCCAAACGGATCTCGATAACATTGTTGATCAGCGCTAAGAGAGGGGCCAGAGGAAAAGCTGCCACAAAGATGGTGGTGAAACCAAACTGTAGAACTGAAACAAACACAAAACCATGAGCCTCCAGGTTTCTAGTGCCTGCAGAGGTTCAACATACAGTAACTCACACGTTAGCAAACAATTGGGTATTTACACATTCAGCAGGTAGGAGCAACATCAGCATTCATTCAGAGTCATGTTACTGGACACATAATGAATTTACGTCCAGTAATCACTCTCCTTCAGCTCTATTTTCTATCCATCAATACTTGAGGGAAACATTTGGCTCTGTTAGCAGTTAATGCTCCAATTTGCCAACAAGCACTTGGAACAATGCGCTTATGTCCCATTTGGTCTGTCTGTAATTTGGTGTGGGGCAGGAAGTGTCATGGTAGCTCATAGCAGTGAGAGTGAACATTTTTGAGCTTAGGAAAACTAAAAATATAAGCTGAAAGAAGATAAATTGCTGAAGAGAACACTCCAGTCGAGGGATAATTATTTGTGGGTTCGTCACTACGAGTTACCTGTACTGATAACCTCAGCTTCATAAATAGAGAGAGTTTGTGTCACCTACATACAGTGTTGTAGTCAAGTCACCAATTCTCGAGTCCGAGTCACTCTCGAGTCCTCACTTTTCGAGTCCGAATAGCGGGGGTTTGAGCGGTACGTGGCCTCGCAGAGTTAATCCGGACTCGAGACAAAACTTGTTTCAGTCCGAGTCCAAGTCTGAACTTCAATGTGCGAATCCGAGTCATTGTGCGCGAGAATTCACAAGTCCGAGTTTGAGTCCGAGTCCATCAGTGTGGGAATCCGAGTCTAGTCACAAGTCTAAAAAATCGGCCAAAGTCCAGGACTCGAGTAATCCAAGTCTGCCTACATGAGTAAGGTAATTACTATCTGTGAATAACAAAATGTATGCAACATACTCATTTCTAGATATTCATCAAAGAGTCCATATTCATTCATTGGCTGTAGGTTGTAATCCTTCTCCCACTGTGGAAAGCTGGCCTTGGCATTCTTCCCATGCTCTCTCCTCAGCCTCCGCCGTGTCCACCAGTTCTGAATCAGCCTGGAGAAACAACATACTTGGTATAGGGAAACAAATAGATCAAATTACAACAGCTTTTACTTACAATACAATGGCACTTTATCTGACCAATTTATCTTGGTGTTTGTAGGTTCTTAAAAAGCACTCACGGGTAGCCGAGCTCCATGAAATTGTTCCAGGTCTGTTTCAGCACCATGATGATCCCCATTTGCATACAGAGGTCGATGAGACAGCCACTTGGATGGCACTACAGCAACATGATAAATAAATTGCACATGTTGGCGAAAAAGCTCTAAGATCTAAGAAAACAAAACAAGTATGTACTATTTTGGAAAAAACATTTTGCCTACACTCTTTAAATGGCGAGGAAATCCCGGTATCACAGTTTGATTCATGGAACAGATCAAGTTTATCTAAAATGGTGTGTAAGCCACCTATTATGCAAAATCCACTTTTTCATGTCTTTTATACAAAAATATGTGTCCCCTCTGTGTTAAGGGATGTGGAAAGTTTCAGGAAAAAAGGCTATCTCTCTTTGTCCCGATCTATCTATATAAAAATCTGAAAATGATCTATTCAGATTTTTTACATTTGCATTTAAAACTACAGATACAGAGGCATGCTACAATACATGTTCTGTTTGGTATTCCAAGCCAAAAAATATCTGGGACCTAAAATATATTGTAAAAAAATAGTATAATAAGGAACCTTTAAGGGTATTTATGTAAATGTACACTGTATACAACTAATGTCTCATATGGAATTGTAAATGACTGTTTATTTAAAAACATTTTGCAGCTGTGAGAAGCTTCTTCATTTACCTTAGAGATACTTTATGTGTGGTTTTAAAGCTTTATATTGTACAGAACTTTAGCAGTCACCCATTCTATGGTACTTGTTGGTATTTCCCTTTTCCCAGTTGACTTTAGCTGAACGTCACAGTTCCCCTGAGTTGATTGGAGGTTATTCAGAACACCTGTTGGCTCCTAATGAAGAACTGAGAGCAGCAGGGTGCATTTCCCCTCTCAGCCAATCACAGTGTAGGGCGCCCCCTCGTTAGGGCATAAGAGAGCCAGAGGGTGTTTCTCAATGTCGAGTACGCTTGCTTGGTAGCACATGTCTTCCGAGTCACTTGCTTCAGAAGCGAGGCAAGAATACTTCCTGGCATTCGGAAAACGAAGAGTGGAACAGGCGAGCAAGTGTGCGTCATATGAGAGCCTTACATTTTCCGCCACAGATTTGGGGAAATTGTTCCGTGCGCAAAGCATTGTGGGGATTTTAAGACCGCGGAGTCTACACATGTGCAGCCTCGAAATTTCTCGCTACGAAGTACGCCGGGCTCGGTAGAATTCCAAGTATGCTGGACATTGGAACAGTCCTTCGGCGGCACTCGATGACGTAGTATGCTTGAAATAGTGGCTCTGGAGCAGCTTTTTCTCGACATTGAGAAACACCCAGAGAGCTGACACCACAACCATTTTGATCTTCCGCCATTTAATGAATATCTAATTTCAGCAGAGACACAAACAAAGCCTACTCTTTAGTCCCTTATCACACTTCTTTGCTATCTGAACTTCTCTGATTTAGAGTATTACTCAGATTTCTGAAACCTAGCTGGAGTGAATATCACAACTACAAGTAACTTCACACTGCAGGAAGTTAACTTCAGCAAAGCTATCCAAGGGAGAAATCGAGTTTGTTTAACTAGAGCTGCTTTTTCACTTATTTTAGTGAAATAAAGAATAATCAATGTTTATGAAAGCCATCAAATTAGAACACCTTTTAATATTTCCCAGCAGCTTTTATCAACTTTGCAAATGTAAATAAAATCCAATTATCTAAATAAAATGAATTTATAATTTATAATTACTTAATATTCATAATGCGTTGCTCTTACTACTCTGAAGGATAACAAAGTGATTACTCACTTCTTCCAGTTTCCAGCGGTTGATGAGGCGTAGATATGCTCCAGGCCTGCCAGTAAATCTGTCAAGCCAGAAAAAGAGATATAACTTTAAAAATAAACTATTTATCTTTTCTTTCAAAGACATTTTACCCAAGACACCAGTTGTAAAATCCTGTGCTGGACTATTTATGTATGGGTGTGCAGTGTTTAATGCCTAAGAAGCCTTCAGAACATCCAACAGAACCGTTTACATTGTTTTAACACAGGGAAAAGTGTTGTAGTGAATATGTAAGTTCTCCAGGACTTTCTCACCTTCCCAAGAAGAAGGCAATGTAGAAAGTTGAACTGTTGAGGTTGACGAACTGGAAAAGGAACATCTTGAGAGTGAAGCTGTTCTCCCACTCAGACTCTGTCCTTGGCTGTTCTGTGGAAAGAAAGCAGGAACAGTGAGATGAACCGATAAAATACTTTGTTACATAACACATAAGCTGCGAGAACATAAGATCTGCTGGGACAGTCAACTTACCTAAATTAGTGAGAAGAAGAGCAACTTTTTCATAGAGCTAGAGAGGGAGGAAGTTAAATAGTTGTTTTATTGACTAGAAACAGCCTATTAAAAGGTCTGTTATTATTCAACCCAGTCTCACGGCATTTCGTGTAATAGTCACGAAATAAATGCAATCTATTGATTCGTGTTCACCAACACTATTCTCTCGTTTTTTTCGTGTCACAATGAACGATTTTAAAAGCAATGTATTTCTATTGGTAGTATGTTTCACGCCTGCACCACGTATTTTTGTCCGGTCGGGTCTTGGAAGACCAGAAGCTGTGTGGTTCATAAAAACATTTTCTTACTCAAGCCATGATTATTGTTTTTATTTTAAATTGTATAATGTCTGACTTTTTTTGCCATCCGTGAGGAAAATAAATGGGGCTCAGAATACTGAAATCTGTATTTTTTAAATCTTTTTTTCCTTGTTATTATTTGGTGCAGGCACGAAACATACTACCAATAGAAATACATTGCTTTTAAAATCGTTCTGTGTGACACGGAAAACATGGGGAAATCGTGTTGGTGGACACGAATCAATAGATTACATTTTGTGACTATAACACAAAATGCCGTGAGACTGGGTTGTATTATTATCAATGCCTTTTGATCATTTCACCTGTTGCACCACTGATGACAGCAGACACTCACCACGTTGAGGAGCATTATCATGCAGAAGTTGATGCACACTGCCGTTCCCGTGGTCGCCACCTGAGAGTTGTTCCTTATGAGAGCCCAGCCGAAGGCGGCAAAGGTGCTCACGGTGATCACTCGGTAAATTACAATGCCAAACACAGCGGCAATCACCACCAGTATCTGTAACACAATGCAAAAGATTACCACATTGTATTTACATGATGAAAGTACTTTATTGTACAAATATAATTAGATTAAAGCGCTGTAGTAGAGATAAAAATGGCAAAAGAATGAGTTAATTCCTTTAGTAAGTGTCATGAAATACACACACCAGCTGCTTGACATTTTTTTGCCCCAGAAACTCACCATGAAGAAGATCCCAGATGCCGAAACGATAAGTCGGCTATATTTGTCAGTGAAAGCTTGGTACGGTTCAGGCTTTCCAGATATAGGGTTCATCCTCTCCTTCTTGGAGTATTTGGCCTCAAACTGAGGGCGTATTTCGTCCTGAAAGACAACGGACAAGACACAAGTGAGCCAAAGAAAGAAGGGAATGTAGAGGGCTTTAATACACATAAGGCTATCATGAGAACAGTATTTCTGGCTAAAACCATCAGAATCTGTTTATAAACGCTGTCCTTTCTTCTGTTCTGTATAACCAGATTGAGAATCACTTTCACACCGCCAAATCACAGTCTTTTAAAGAACATCTGCTCTACAAGATCTTTCATTATTGAAGTGTTATAATGGTATGCTTTTTTTGAGTCATGAATTAATTTGAACTCCCTTGGGGCAGGCACTCAGTAAATATATTCCGTCAAACTGGTTTAGAGCCAGAGCTGCTGTGCAGGCAACAATATTGTCAGTGTCAAAGCCAAAGAGTATCAGGTTGGCTGAATTGAAGTGCAAGGAAAAAACTCAATATAAATATAGATGGTAGCGAGTTTCCTATTTGTAATGTCTTCCCTGCGTTCAGTAGTTAAAAAAAAGTAGCTACAGAAATACAATGTCCTCATGAAGAACACAATCACCTCCTCTTCCTCCCAGTCAATAAGGTCCCAGTCATATGCAAGGACAGCTCTGCGCCTTTTCCAGAACTCTAAGAAGACCGTAGCTGAAATACATTAAGAAAACATATTCAGGGAATTCATGTGAACCGTACTGAACTCCTCATTGTATCTGATTTTACAACCTTTTACATATCTGGTAACGTTCAGGGTAAAACACCATGATGTCTTTGCAGAGACACATTTTCAAGTTTCCTTGCATGAAGTCATTCTGGAGGATAAACCCTTAAACAAGTAGGCATCCTCCAGGATTTGGAGTACATGCAAGACATGCATATAGTTCTGTGAACTGTTTATGAGATGCTGCATTATCTCTTCTTCTTGAAAGAGCAACATTTTTTTTTATAATCCATACCATATTCAATAACATGAGAATATTGAACATGTTATACATAAGTCCAATATTTATTTCCCTCTACGTGCGCGTTTTTGGTCTCAAATACAGTCCTGAGGGAAACTAAGCTAATAGCAGCTAATTGCTCCACTTTGCTATCTGCTAACTGTGCAATATGGTGCTAAGCAGGTATTGTGCCACAAGTTTTTTTATTTTATGGAAATAAGGTTGGTGGAAATACTTAAGTAAATCAAACAATAAAAGTGCGGACTGCTAAACCAAAACATAGCTGAAATACACTAACATGCTTTGTAGAGCTGAGGGGAGCCACTACAACGACCACTTTCACATTACACAGAGTTATCTGACTCATTTTCAATACAAACATATTGATTAGTGCAGCTTTAACCTAGCAGGATAGCACCACCCTGGTCAAAATGTCAGAATATGTAACTACAATTTAACAACTGTGTTCAGCATTTCATGTTACATGACATATTCTGTTGGAGGACGCTCCCAACAAAATGAAAAGGTAAAATCGGCACATAGAGCTTTGATGATGCATTGCCCAACAGACTAACCCTACTGTACAAAGAGAGAACAGTCACTATCAGCTTAAAAAAGAAACATTTACAAAAAAAAATTCTCAAAGAAAGGTGTTTGTCATGTCTAGGAAACTAATAGTAAAAGTGTATTCTTTATGTTAGTTTTGTCATGTCCCTTTGCCCTGTGCCTTATGTTTATTCCCTTAATTAATCATCCCTCTCATTTCAGGCCTCCACGCTCCCCGCCCCCTTCTGTCTCCTGCGTCCTTGATTGTTTTCCCCGCCCTGATTGTTTCCACCTGTGTCCCCTTTACCTGTGTATATATTGTGGTAGCTTCCTCCTGTTCATTGTCAGTTCGTTGTCTTACTATGACCCACGTTCCTGATTACCTCACGGACTTCCCACGGATCTACCTCATTGATCACTTGCTAGTTTTCCTCGAAAGAGTATATTTGTTTTCCTTGTTTTGATTACTGTGCTAAATTCCAGTAAAGTCTTTATTTTTTGAGAACACTATCTGTGTCGTGCAATTGAGTTCATGCCTCAGATCCCCTCCTTGACAGTGTTGACATATTAAAATGTTCTCTGTGCATGTGATGCTGACTGACAAGTGATATCTAGTTAAACCAACTGGTTTAAAGCCAAGATAGTTAGACTTTGTGAACCTGCCTGTGTTCGGGCATGGAGGGAAGCTATTGCTGAACAAAGTCCTTTGAATAGTTTACTGATTGCACAACTAGCTGCATCTCCTCTCAACTCTGAAGCTTTTATTCTCAAACCAATGCTTGTCTTTTTTGATTTTCTCTTTGGTTTCCACCTCCGTACATAGAGCAGCATGTCTTGGGTGTGAGGACTCATCTGTTTGAGAAGGGCACCACTTCCCATGAGGAGGCAGCAGGGGAGCACACTTCTAAAGAAACCCTAATGAAGGGATTTGAGCTGCAGAACTTCAAATATATTCATTTAGACAGCAGATTCCAAGAAGCAGTTACTGTAAGGTCAGTACCTAGAGCACTTTCAGACATTTGAAACACTTTAATCAGGATAAAAATGTTGAACTTGATACTTATTTATTTATTTTAGTGTGTCTGGCATGTCTTCACAGCTGTGAAAACAGCTTCATCTTCCACAATGCTCTTTAAAGACTTCAGCTATGCTAGTTTAATATCATGTTGACATGTTTTAAGTCAGATTATTTGTGTGACGATCTGTGAGTGTGTATTGTCTCTTTTTTTTGCAGAAAAGTTGTTATATATTTACCTTTTATTTGGAAAAACTAAGACATTTGGTTTTGTCTTACTTGTAACTTATATACTTGTCTTTCAGTTGCTATAGTCTGTCACAGTGAATGACAAAATTACTTAATACTCCTTCAACACAAATTAAACTCCTACCCTATTTCATTTTGCTGCATTCCATTAGTTTGCAGTGAGCTAAGAGTTCTGTTACGTAATAAAGGTTGTTAAAGTTAGCTTGCAGACAAGCTAGAGATAATTGGATATTTAAAGTTCAAATTTGACCTTTTTACTTCCGAAAGAAAGATCTATTATAACGCTGATTGGATCAAATTGTCTTTAACCCATTATGTACAACATTTGTAAATGTTAGTACCTTAAAATCACCTAAATTTTAAGGTACTGGACTCTCCAGCATTCATAGTTCACACAATTTAAAATGCAAAAAAGATAAAAAGCCAAATCGAAAAAATAAATGTGATCCTTTTAGTGTGCAGAAGAAATCGTTATTCATTTAAGAATGTTTACACAAGCAAATGGCTATTCCCGGCTACACAGGGAGGCTCCTGGAGCAGCGAGGACTGACTGATGGAATTTCTGCAGAACCCAAACCTGACCCAGCCAGAGGTCACCCACTGGGAGTCAACCCCACTCCTCTCCTCAACTGGTACTGTGACATTTATCATCAAAGCTCATGTTACCTTATAAGAGATCTACTGTTGTCAGTCAACGTGATTACATTCTTCAAATTGTTCATACATTTTTACTTTCCTTTGACTTTACATTTGTCCCACTATATCTGCAATTTGCAATACAATATTTATCAGTGTGAAACTGATATGTTTTCCACTGTCCGAGTGTCTGAATTATTAACACACACTGATACAACAGGGCCTTCACTGTAGATTAAGTTTAACACTTAAAACATGGCCTCACTTTTGAGTTCCATATTTAAGCTTTTGGAATGATGTTTAAATGTGTGTAATTTCCCCAAGAGTTTAAAAAGTACTCTATAGAACTGCATGAATCTTAAAGATCCACTGTTATACTTTAGATGCAAATGAGGCTGCTGGCCACGCCCCTCTGCAAGATGATTGGTTTAGAAAAACACAATGGTGCTCTAGGAGGATATTCAGGTTATAAGGTGGGTGTTACCTTGGTTGTTTATTGGCTTAACAACCCTAAAAAACATTGTGACATCACAAAGTGGCCAAAATCTGATCAGCTCATTTTCAGACAGGTTTTTATATAAATGGATCAGGACAAAAAGAGAGTGAGAATCTTTTTTGAGGAAAACGTTCAGACACGAAAAAGTGAATTTTGCATAATAGGTGACCATTAAGTATACATGAAAGATGTCCTGCTAGTGTTTGTTTACTTCCTTTGTATTAATCTACACAACCTCATTAAACCTCCTGTGCTCTTTCCCCGAAACAGTTAACAACACCATAATGGTGCTGGGCGTGTTGACCTTTGCCCTGCAGCTGTGTTTAGTTCTGCTCTTCATGCTGAGATGTTGGAGATTTGACAACAGAGTACAAGAGGCTCTCAAACACCCGGAGACTGCTGGCAAACTCATCGGTGAGCCTTTATTGCTAGTTCTTGTTTTAGGTTGGCCATTAGAAAACAAATGATACAATTGAAACTTCACAAGTGGTATGACTTTTTATTTTTCAACTAAGATACTGAACTGATGCCTTAGGTCATGTTTTGTAGCATATTCTGTATTAGTGTTATAAAGATTTAATCATGTTTTGGCATGGGATAAAGTGAGAGAAGCAGCATGAGTTAGGTATGTTGTGAAAGCCATCTTACTTGAAAATGGCCTGTCAACAATTGTATTTTCTTCACTACAGTCATTTCTTATTTCTTTATTTCTATTCCTCAGCCCCCTCATCCTTCCACATAGAAATATACAAACAGGCCAGCTTTCAGCAATGTGGTGAAATCACTGCCACACCATCACCGATCGTGACAGAATCACCTGAAGAATATGAACCCTTCAAACACCACCTGTTTGCACCTTCCATACCCTGGGACCTTGTTCAGCGCTAGTTATTGATGATAAGAGTGAATGCATCCTTTTTATATAATGTACAATCTACATGAAATGCGATACTCTGTCATTTAAAGCTGCAATGTGTAAGAAATGGAAGAATTTAAATGCATAACATAAAAAAAGTGAACTAAAATAAAGGTGAAGCTGCACTTTTGATATGAACAAATGCTAATGTGTATAACTTGGAAAGTGTTCATAGTGACAAGAGAGAAAATGATCCCCCACTGCAGAACATCCCCTCAATTCTAAGCTGCGTTTTAGCATCTTTCAGTTTATTTATTTAGTTTTTTACAGCCTGCAACTTAAATGTTTTGCTTCAGTCCCACTGCTCTTATCAGTTACACTTACAGTAGCAGTAGGCTCTGATAAATCTGCAAGTTTCAACTGAGCTAAAAGAAAACATTTAGTAAATGTGTTATTTTTTTTCTCTCAAAAAAGAATCTTGTCCACACAAGCGCTGTTTTAAATATCTCCAGCCAGATTAAAAGATATCAAAGTATGTATGCGTTAAAATATAAAAAGTCCTTTTAGGAGGTTATTGGGCCATGTCCAGAGTTCACGGATGTTTTAAAGCCGGCATTGTATTTTACGTGGCCTCATTACTTAAAGAAGAGTTACAATTGCCAACGCTGAAGTTTACAAGCCAAAAAATCTCAGTTTTCCCATATACACAGCAGGACTGATAACTGAGTTTCTGAAATATTGACACTTCGGTTGGTGACATGTCTTCATGAAATATCTGTTGTGCAACCCCTTGTAGCAAAAATACCTGTTAATGCATTATTAGTACATATCTAAGGAGCTTCTCTAGGAGGTAGGAGTTTTTTTCAGAAATGTCAGCTGTTTGACTTACCCCATACAGCCATGAATACAGCAAAGAAGACTGTTGCACCATTGTCAAACAGATGGGTGACCTGAGAAGATGCAGGAATATGACGGGATGCCACAACATGTTATAAAAACAAAATGTAGCTTCAGGTTCCCAGTTAATACTTAAGCAGTTTAGCATCAATCACTGACCAGTACATTTCTGAACACACCAGAGATATCTTTAAATAAATCATTTAGGTGCCTTATCATTAAGGGTGAAAGTGACATATTAAACAAACATTTCCATTAGTTAAAAGTGCTAATAACTTTTCTAGGACATAGGATATGGTGTTGGTGTGTGGACAGTACCTTGGCATAGATGCAGCTGTCTGACAGCCTCAGGTAGGGGCAGTACTGGTCGCAGATAGGGCACATGATGATGTCTGTGGCCTGGCAGATTTCCTTACTGAAGGACAACATGTAGCCCATTAAACTCTGGTAAAGTTGGTATTACAATATCCAGCAACATAGTACTAACCCAAACTGATGCCACTTCTTCTTCTGAAAAAGTAATTTGATCACACTTTTTTATTCCGTGCTTCTGAATAGTGTTTTTAAACTGTGTTTTATGAAGTGATGACAGAGCACAAATGCATCTACATCCTAAGTACGCACATTTTGTTTCCAGATCACATTTAAAGAAAGCTTAAACTGACCAAAATGTCATACACATGACAACATTTTAAGAATTAGTGGGCGAAAGAGTTGTTGTTTATTACCATAAAGGAAAAAACATGTGAAAATTAACATTGAATTCCTGTTAAGAATGTACTTTAAAGTGGACCTATCATGCTATATTTGAAACATATATTGTAGGGCTATACCTATATAAAACATGTCTGTGAAGTTTATTTTTCAAAATACCAAACAGATCATGCATTTTAGCCATGCCTCATTTCGCTCTATTTGCTCTTTTCCAGCCCTGTTTTTGCAAGGGCTGATTCTGCTTTTGTGGCAGACTACAGCGCCACGTACCCACAGTTTCCACCGGGTCCGTCTGCGCCGCGCAGCGCCACGCGGTCGTAAGGATCGCGGCCACTCTAGTCAATGGGTGCTATTCCACCACACGCGCCGTGTTACGGCTCAGACGCGTCCCAGAAGCGTCCCAGAAGCGTCCCAGAAGCGGCTCGGCGCAGCGCTTAAAATTAGGATGAATCCTATTTTTGCCGCAGCAGTAACGTAAGGTCGGGCAGGCAGCCCCCCCTCGCAGGAAGTGGAAAGGTGAGCATCCGGGCCAGGCCCATCCCCCACATATACTAATTTAGCAGACCCTCCTCCTTCATCACAACACCTCCACTATGATACGCACAATGGACGACGAGGTTTTCATCATGGAAGTGGACTATTACAATTATTATTAACTGTGTCTGTAGACTACAACACAACAAAATAGGAAATTTATAACAACAATAAACACAATTTAAATAGACACAAAAATAAAACATTTAACTACGTAGCCTACTTACTTTCTTGTAGAAGTACAAATGTCCAGGATGCCCGAATCAATAACAAAACTGCGAGCCTGCACGCACGACGCTACGCTTCTGAAACGCTTCTGGGACGCGTCCGGTGGGTTATGGCACTAGAGGAGGTCGGACCAAAACCGTGACGTGACGCGGCGCAGCGCAGACGGACCCAGTGGAAACTGGGGGTTCCAGGCCTCGCATATGTACTACAGCGTCTCCAGCGCTTTCGAGCGGTCTCTCATTCCCCTGATAGGTGGAGAGTTGCCCATATAGGCGGAGCACCCCTTTTCTGACGTCAGAAAAATTCAAATAATAATCAGCTCCGTTGCAGCCCCGTTTTTAGAGATTTGGGTATGGAAAAAAAGAGAGAGGGCTGTGTTTTCTGACACTTGGTGAGTTCCCAAGAGTTCCCGACACACCGGGGACACATATTCATGTATAAAAGACGTACACAAGTGCATTTTGAAAGATAGGTCCCCTTTAAGCAGAGAATCCTGAATTTCCTTTTATTTTATATTACAAGCTCAAATACTATTAGCGATAAGGGACATATCACATGACGATGCCCTATCCATAAAACCAAATTGGCTGTGCATTAGGAACAGTGACATGTCTTCCTTTCTAAATACCATTACCATGGTCTGTGCTTGCCGAGTACATCTGAAGCATAAATCAAGGCTTATTCTTCTGTAAACTCTAAGAATATAATACTACCCGCTCTGGGGACACTTACATTTATCAGAAAAGAGAGGAGGTGTGTTTACCTGACCTGGCAGTGCTCTAGAGTGAAAACGCCGTACAGGAATACAAAAAGGCCGACCAGAGCTGCAGGAAACAGCATCCCTGTGTACCAGCCCAGCCAGGCGAAGTACAGACCAATCTTCTCACCAAAATACCTCCTGAAACAACAGCAGAGCAAAAATGGCTTGTCAAATTCAAGATGTAATGCGCATGATAATAAAAAGGGGCATTGTGTAGTTTTCAGGCATGTCCACTCTACTACTTGCTCTATACAATCTAAATAAAAGGTGCAATTATTACATATCTTTGTAGGTCGATCTGGAAGTAAGCATAGCAGGGGCTATACAGAAAGCAATGGGATTTTGGAATATTACAGAAAATAAGATCTGGGGCAAACACGTTTATGAAGCTAACCTATTTTGTTAAGCAGGATAACCTCTAAAACCAGTTTCATGAAAATTGAAGCGCATATGCAATTGCAACAACTATAGCCAACGTAATGCTGTAAACAACCCAGTCACATGGCTTCACTTCTACTAAGCTAAAGGGGGTGTTAGCATGATGAGGTAAAGTAGCCTCATTTAGTCACTGTTAGCAAACACATTGAAGGCTTCTCAATACTCTAATTTCCCCTCCTGTACTCCTATCCTCGTGTCTTGTCCCGCCCGCAGGAGATGCGAGCGGAGGAGTCGAGGAGGGGAACCGAGGAGAGAGGAGGGGAAGCAGCAGGCAGTTAGAGAAATGAGAAATCCTCTCCTCTGAGCGGTCATTTGTCTGATGGACAGAACTGTGTTCATGATGACTTATATATTTACTTTTAATTCATTGACAGTGTGGTATAATGAGACAATAACAGGCTACAGATACGGCCATATACACACACACACACATATATTTATTTAAATATATACAATTTCAGAATCAAAAGTATGATATAATAATATAATAATATATAATACCTAACACAATCAGAGACTGGATATATCCCCCCCCTCTCTCTGGTCACTGAAATGGGGAATTGAAATTACGGGCCAAAAGTTGTATTTACAAGTAATGCTTACTTTTAGTAAGCATTCAACACCAAACCAATGAGACCCGTCTGTCCGCCTCATCTACGCACTGTACAACACGCACCTACACGCTGTACCACACAGCCGTTGTGTATTTTATAGGGCTGTCAAACGATTACAATTTTTAATCAGATTAATCACAGCTTAAAAATTAATTAATCATGATTAATCACCATTCGAACTATGTCCAAAATATGCCATTTCTTTATGCATATTGTTGTGGGAATGGAAAGATAAATGAAAGAAGGCGGATATATCCATTTAACATACCTATGTTTATTATAAAATTGTTCTGCGTATCAAAATGAAAGACAGCCCACACACCTATCAATCATCAAACCGTGGGGTCTTAATTCATTACGTGTTGATTTCTATCAACGGGGGAGTACTTCAGGAAAGTCGACAGGTGGGGGCGCTAGTGGAGTACTTCGTGACCACAGAGGGTGAACGTTGTGATCAGCTGTTTTAGCGCAGACCGATGTTAACAGCAGCCCTGTCTGTGCACACCGAGACCGACTCTGTCGTCCGGTGATCTAACCGCCTTCTGGAAAAGCTTCACAAGTACGTCGGTACGCAAATGCGCTTTGTGACACAAGTGACGGTACGCATTTCAGATTACGCACATAATCTGCGTACCAGTTATGTGCACCCCTGTACTACAGCAAAAGTATTCTCCGTCGGGACTTCCTGCAACAACACCACGCCGTTATCTTGATTCTGATTGGCCAGAAGACATTATCAAAGATGCTCTATTGAGAAGACGATCACTACGTGACAAAAGTTTTCAAAACCGTTTCTGGTCTTCGGTATTTCCAGACAAGTGGCTACTGAAATCAATCTTACTAACTGCTGTCTGTGCAATTTACTCCGCGCGAGTTGGCGGACTTTATTTTACTTACTTTAACATAATTTTTCATGGTGGGGCTAAGCCATTTCTTGTTATGGCTGTAGCCTACCCCAGCCATACCCTGGCGCTGCCACTGGTGGGATGTATTGGACGGGCCATTCTGCACATGCGTTAAATGCGTTAAATATTTTAACGCAATTAATTCAAAAAATTAATTACCGCCGATAACGCGATAATTTTGACAGCATTAGTATTTTATTATGTGAAGCACTAAATGGTCTTAGAAAAATATCGACTCTTTGTAGATATCTACTAAACTACAGTATACAAATACAGAGAGTAATGTAGGCCTGTTATACTGAGTGATATATATTTTACACTGCTCTGCTTTCTGCACGGACCTCACAGCTGTTCTCACTGTAAACATCGCGTCGCGATGAAAGCAGTTACTAAAATAATATCCAAGGGATGCATGCAGAGCTGTCATTGGCTGATAGTCCAGCAGATATGTAAAATAATTGTGCTTTTGATGATAAAAACATGAACTTTGGCACACTGTTAGAGCATGCCCTAAGGAAGATCTTTGGCTATAGAGTAGTGATGTGTCGGTCGCGAATGAGCCGATTCTTTTGAACGGCTCTTTGGTACGAACGAGGGGAACCGAGTCCTACTTGGTGAGAGCCGTTCTTGTTATCGTTCAATCGTTGGTCCGCACTCACTAACTGCCAAAATTCACTCGCCTTTTAAAAGGCTTGATTTTGTTCCCCAAACGTATTCTGTGAAGACCCGCCCCTACTCTGATTGGTAGGTTTCAGCACGAGGAGTGAGATGGGGTTGGTTTGAACGGAATACGCGAGAGAGAGAAGTCATAACAAGTGGTACAGGACAGGTAGACGACGTGTTTTTCGGATGGAAAATGAGCCAAACGCGAAATCGCAGCAGCATTTGGATGCACTTCAACCAAAACCCAGGCAGTGATAAAGCGTACCATTTGTAAAGGCAACATATACTTTAAAGCAGGGTCAACTAATAATCTCCATTGCCACTTAAAAACACAGTAGGCTATCTAATATTAAGAGTTGCATGAATTTCATTCAAGGCAAGGCAACTTTATATACTTAACACATACAGAGGGTCAATTCAAAGTACATTCACTGACATGATGACATGGATATGGCGCCACCTTGTGCCATGTTTACAATGCCGATTATTGACATTAGGTCTGGCAATACAGTCAATCATTATCCTGGTGATTATTTCGCAGATAAACCCTGTAGCCCCGCCCCCTTTTAAAAAAAACGGCTCTTTTGAACGGCTCTTTGAAAGGAACGGAGCCATAAGATCCGGCTCCCTTCAAAGAGCCACAATTCCCATCACTACTATAGAGTGGCGAAGTCCCTCCCCTTCCGGTGGACCTCCATGGGACCTTATTTTGAAAAAATGATGTATTGAAGTCAATGGAGAGAAAGATTATCTTTCAATCCCGTTTGAATTGTGCCACGAATTACACATATGATATTTGTCAATTTAAAAGATAATTTTGTCGTAAAACTGTGAAGTAACACATTTGTTTGTGTGAAACGCTCAATGAACTACATCTCTGGTCTCACAGAACAACATACAAGATGGCCGTCACTACTGTCTTGTCAACAAAACGATTGACTACCCTCACTATCACCACGTCCAGAAGAATGTCATGCAAAGCTGCCTGCCTGCCTGCCTTCCTTTGATTCTCTCTGAACTGCCTGGTCTTTTTAATGTTTAATGTCAACCATTTGTGCAGATAGCATGAAGTAGAAAATATTGGCGATCGCCGATGCTAGCGTTAGCATTTCACGAAATTCACGAAATATGACTACTACTCTTACTGTTTAACATGTTGGGTTACTTAATGTTACTTCATATTAAGGCTAATAAAAATGACAAGACTGTAATGCTAACTAAAGTGCTACCTACTAGCTAGGTAGCTAACTTGATCCAGCCATTCCTGGTCCTTTCATTAGACGGGAAGCGAAAGAACGAGCAAGACCCATTGCTGGTATGATAACAACCTGGTACTAAGCACACAGGCATCTTGTTAAAGTTATCTTATCTTAGCCAGCGCCTCGATAGATGATATCTATATGGCGCTGATCTTAGCTATCTCTTAGTGGAGGAAAACAATTGTGACATCACTTACGCGACTGGGATTTGTAGTCTTTCTAGATGCGTATTTTTCATAGTCTTATATTTCAACAGTTTTACGACAAACTGTGACTTTTTTGACATGGAAATAATTTTTTAAGATTGACAAACATCATATGTGTAATTCATGGCACAATTCAAACGGGATCGAAAGATACGTTTTCTCTCTCCATTGACTTCAATACATTATTTTTCCGAAATAAGGTCCCATGGACCGGAGATGGGCGTGACTTCGCCACTCTATAGGGCCATCACATATTTGTCCATTGGTTGTTATTTTACCAGTAGCTTAGGATCTAGACCACCTAGGATCTTGATTCTGGTGGCTAATCCTACATTTTCATGGATGAGGAATGCAGTGGTACTATTTACTACATGCTAGAATGTAGCTAACTCCATGTATCTGGTATTCAGGGAGCATATGCCGGAGCCTCACAGCGGCGAAACTGTGGCATGCTTACAGTAATTGCGCCGCATAAGTAGGGATGGGTATAGTTTGAAATTGATCAATTCCGATTCCGGTTCTGCTCATCGATTCCGGTTCTTATCGATTCCCCGTTTAGATTCCAAAATTGTAAAAGAAAGAGGTCAAATGTTTAGATAACAAAAATATATTTATTCTTTTAAGCTTTAACTGACATTTTTACAAATACATCCATCTTCTCCCGCTTATCCGTGGTCGGGTCGCAGGGGTAGCAGTTCCAGCAGAGAGCCCCAAAGTTTATTTTCCCTGGCGACATCAACCAGCTCTGACTGGGGGATCCCAAGGCGCTCCCAGGCCAGCGAAGAGATATAATCCCTCCATCTGGTCCTAGGTCTACCCCTTGGTCTCTTCCCAGCTGGACGTGCCTGGAACACTTCCCTAGGGAGGCGCCCAGGTGGCATCCTAACTAGGTGCCCGAACCACCTCAACTGGCTCCTTTCGACGCGAAGGAGGAGCGGCTCAACTCTGAGTCCCTCCCGGATGACCGAACTTCTCACCTTATCCCTAAGGGAGACACCAGCCACCCTGCGGAGAAAACCCATCTCGGCCGCTTGTATCCGCGATCTCGTTCTT